TTTTCCTTTACTGTATAACAACCTGGAAAGCTTTCTGAGCAATAATGCATTTGGGATGCTTAGTTAGCTATAGTCTTCTTACTTCCCAACCTCAGAGAAAGGGCTTGGAATTTTATACTTGCAGGTATTGAGCTTGCTGGTGGTTTGCTTTCTCTGTATCTCCTATTTTTCTCTCTCTTTTCAGGTTTTGCCCTTGTTCATGGGTTTTCTATGCCAAAAGCAGATGAGTTGTGGCCATAAACCACCTGCCTTCATCACCCTCTTCATGCTCTCGTTTCATCAGTTGCTTTTCTTGTCTCAGCCAGTTGCTATTTCATGCACAGAATGGGTTGTAGACATTATTATTACTCCTGTTTTTTATAATGCAACTTTCTCCTACTTACCCTGTAATAAAAGTCAGGATTTTTTTTACCCTTTTTTTTTTTTTAATCTTTTTGAAGGAGGTGGAAGAAACTTAACACCAAAGAGCTCAGTGCTATTCTTTCTTAATGCTGAAGGCTACTGCCCGTATTGTGGGGCTAGAATTCATCTATGTTTTCCCACTCCTTGTGGAAAGTGTGCTGGTTTTAAGCTGTATGCTTTTTGTAAGAGTGTAATCATAGTTATGAGAAATTTTCTAAGGATAAGTCTAGTCCTAACCCATTGGAAACAATGAGAATCTGCCCTCTGACTTCCCTAGCTTTGAATCAGGCCCTTATTATTATTCTCTCTTAGAGGAGAAGAAAAAGAAAATACTCTTTAAGTTTGCAACTTATTTTTTTTTCACAAAAGGAGGTTTATTTCAAACAATTATTATTTAGGAAAAGGATCAGCTGCAGATAGTATTTGAAAACCAACTGATATTTTCCTTCTGTGCATGAAGCACCCTTTATGTGCAGCATGGACCAGGTTCTACCACTCTTCCTATTTGAACTGAAAGCAGAATGAACTCTTTCTATAATTCTTAGAAATAAATGTGTGTGTCACAGGAGTACAGTTCTTTACAGTGCTATGTAATTCCAAAGAGATATTCACACACAACTATTTTTTTCTAGAGTTTAAATCTGTCTTCACATAACACTGATCAAAGGTTTGGATATTTAAATCTGGATTTTTCACATTCTCACTGTTTCAGCAAACCTCTGACAAAACTGAGTCTTGGTCTTACACTGGGTTATCCTGGACTGCTATGTGTTTGTCAGTCAGTATCTTGGTGGGAACCAGGGAGGACAAGTTCAGATTATTTCCCACTGTGTGGTCTGGTGTTGGAGTTGGTCTTTTCCTGCTGCCAGTCCTAACTGCAGGCTGGGGGAACACCAGGACTGTTGCGTTAGCTCTTATTCTTCTAATGAAATGGAACTGTTGGGAGGAAAGTTTAATTCCAGATATAAGGTATAATACAGAAAATATTGAATATGACAGGTGAATGGCACCTGGGCTCAGTTAATGCTATTCAGTATGTGCTGATACGCCTCAGTTTTATTTTTTTCCCTTGTGAGAATTTTATTTTCAAAGTCTGTATCTGTAAATCAACCATCTAGTTAAATCCTCCCTATGCCTTGATTCCCTTTATATCTCTTGTCCTGCATGGTGGTTGGTGTTAATGCAGATGCCCCTGGTTTAATAACAATTAAAAAAAGTTGATTCTCTGTTCAGTTTTCCTTTGATAGCTGCAAGTTTTTCTACTGCTGCTGAGTGGCACGAGCCTTACACTCTGTCCATGGACATCTGCTCCGTAAAAATATGGGACATTATTGCCGTGGCAAATTGTGTCACTTGGATTAAAAAAGTGTTACCTTGTTCTTATGAAGTTTATTCTATTTGTGGTTTTTATCCTAAGCTGATGAATAATGTCAGGATTTTTTCACTGAAACTTCAAAGTTGGTTTTAAGTAAATTGGCTAGTGACACTGGTGATGAAATCCTGACGGGTATTTTAGCTATTGTTACTGGTTTCCTTGGAGCTCCTATCCAAGTTACAATGCTTTTGAGTTTTGGTCCTTTTATACATTCATAGTCACAGGATCACATTTTCTCTCTTCCACTATGTTGTTAGTTGGCCTGTAAATATT